TTAGAGGAACCTTTCTAGTAACCTATTTTTTTCTGTCTCCTGGGGAACGGAAATGAGAAGTGAAGAGAAGGATGCTTTTGAATGTAATTACAGATTGGCACGCAGTACAAATTCCCCCAAATCTAAACATAGGCAGTAGTAAAGTTAGCAACTAAAAAAGGAAAAAAAAGCTTGCTTTGTATGGAAAAACAGTTCATTTACAGTATAACGTAAAAACGGTTCAAAATTAAGCAGCAGTGAAGCATGGAAATTTAAAGTAACAGCACCTTCTTTCACAGCGACCGTTTTTCAAAGGAAAATTTAAATACTGTGTATTAAGAGAAATTAAGACTAAGTCACATTATAATGTCAGAAAGGATAATCACTTTCATTATGAAAAAACAGCCTTAATCATTTAACAGCATATGATTTAAAAAATAAATAAATGTAAGTATCTTAGCTTTTTTACTCAAAAAAGAGATCATCTTAATTTTATAGCTTAGACCCTACCTAGTATATGCACATAGCTTGAACTAACAGGGCTCGGTCTTGAATCCTGCTGCAAGTCGCAAATAAATGAACCCTGGCTGCATAGCTCAGGCCAGCGATACTGAAGATAGGATCCTCAGCCTCAGAGAAAGAGTGCACCAGAGCCACAAGCTCCAGCCATGAGCCCGGCATGAACTACCCTGGGGCAGGAGTGCCCCTGCCCCCGTGCCTGGACCACAAAGCGTTCAGCCGATCCCTCCATGCTCTCTCATGCCATCACCAAGTGCCACTTGGGAGCATGTACTGAGTGCTCAGTCCACCGCCTTGAGCCCTGGACAGCCCTTTCAGAGGTGGGGGGGAGGGTACCTGTTGCAGGCACCCCCTCTGCTCACATATTCGGGTTTCTCTCCTAAAAAGGTGTGCGAGCACCACTGAAGAGAAAAACAGATACGAACAAACTCTCGTGCTCTATGTATGGATGCTACACTTTCTTTCCTTTCAGTAAGCCCTTCCATTAAACCTTTTACCATATATGCAGTACTCCTCAGGGCTTGTATTTTTAACTATTTCTCACAGCATTTGCCGGTGTCGCTCAGGCTGCTAGACTGCTCCATCGGCGTCACAGCCCTCTTCCTGGAAGGGACTTTGCTCAGCAGTAAAGCAGAGAGTGGCCTCTCCAGGGCTTTGGAAGGGGAGATGAGGAAAAGCAATCAAAGGGGGCCCAAAGTAATCCCTCGTCTCCTTTTTCAGCTGCTTTCTGCTATGATAACAATCCAGGCTGTTGACATTGCCGTTTATAAGAGCACGGAAGTGATGAAGGTATTACCACGGTTGGGCTGTGGGTCTTTCCACTGGAGTCAGGCAGGAGGAGCAGGATGATTAGAAATGGAAAAAGACCCTTGTAAATCAGCTGTAGTAGATGAAAAGGCAGGACAAGAGGATAAACAAATTGTAATTATGGAAGCAATACCATCCCTAACTTTCAAGCAGGTCTCCTTCTTACTTTCAGTTAGATGAACAGCATATATTTCCAAAGCTTTGAACCTGGTCATTAACTCAGACCAAAAAGGAAAGGCTGGTAAATCCCTAAGCAATATTTGGAGAGAATGAAATACAGTGTTTTTTCATCTCCAAACACTCAGAGAATTTTATTTTATTGTAGCACTGAACTTTTTGGAAATAAAGATCCTGTTATAAAGTTAATGTGTAATCATAATAAACCAGATCCAGAGATCTCAATTCTGTCTTAGCACATTCAGAACTCTGATTTCAAAACGAGCTTGTCTGAGCATAGTGACCTCATAAAGACTGCAGGATTCATACCATTGGTGCTGTGTGATCGTAACAAACTACTTGTGAATGTGGAGAGAATTCAGAAAAGCTTCGTTTTTTCCTAATGTGAAAGCATGCTTTTTATCCCAAACTTTGCACCAGACCCAGTCTCCTTCTACAAAGATCTATGAAAGGGAAAGGGTTTTTTTTAACTGCTATAAATCCTTTATTAGCTATGCAGGTCTGAGGACTCACAATTTTATTTCATCCAGAAATATTAAGCTCAAATAAGCTTCCTGCATCTTTTTTCTTTAGAATCTGAATCGACCATTCGTGTGTGAAAATGTAGCTAACCACATCCAGAGAAGCTGTTATTATAGCTAACAACCTACAGGGAGGCTGTTATCCCTGTATAAGACATGTCTTAGTAGGTCCTTTCTCAAACTCACTTCCCTCAAGTGAAGAAAAAGCCAATACTCTGTTACTTTCACTGTAATATTCTGGTATTTCTAGTAATGAGGAAGAATTCAACTTTCATGCATATAGGAGCATATGAAAAACTAATTAAGAGAGTTCTCGAGGCTCTATTTCTTTCATGTAGTATCTGTCAAAAAGACTGGTTGCATTGCTGCATTTCTGGCCAGTGCATAAGGTAAAATGAATATTTACTGTTGGAGATATGTCACTTCATAACTATTTTCAACTCCCACTAGCATGGAAATAACAGAATGGGAAATATAATGCATTAGCACTTAACAGCCTTGGGTTTTTCTGTAATGCAGAGCTGTCTGGCTTTTCTGATCAGGTGGGCTGTACAGCTTCTTCCTGTTGAACAAGGTCTCCACACTCAGGCTGCTTTCTTCAGAGCATACAACTAGGCCAGTTTTCCATGTTCATGTCCAGCACAGCTGATGTGCTCATGCACTGGATCCCTTCTAGCACCAGAGCTCCTCTCTGTGCCCAGCTCAGTACTCCAGGAACACAGAAAATGTTCTACACTTCCAGCAATATATGCCTATTCCCTGTGCAGGTTCCCCTGAAGACAAGGTCCTAGAAAGGGTTTATCGGAACAGTGCACAGGAAAGAGATATGCTAAATTCAGAAGCTTGCTTTAGAAGAAAGAAGCGGAGGGAATGAAGCCACAAGATGGATGGATTAGAAGTGTCCATTCTCATACACTATAACATCTCTACACAGAAGGCAATCAGCTCTTGGACCAGACTCTTTGTACTGGAGGAATGTCACTGTATATCTCCATGTTCTGAAACCTGAGCAGGAGTGGAGCTAAAGCCTATCATCTGCCCCTGTTCCAACATAGCTAGCAGCTTTGCCATAGTTTCATTTCCAGAAGGTAAAAATTGGTGTTAGCTTGTAAGAGCTGCCTAATTTATTCAACGAATCTTATTTTAAAAAAAACCAGAAAACCAGCAGCTCCACTATTCCTCACAGTACTGGTCAGCTTGCTCTATCTTTTCTTTGAACTACTTTTGTAAGGCACAGTCCCACTGTTCGTGTAGCTCCCTGAGAAATTAATGTAATTCACTCTGAAGACTGGCATTGGCAAAGTCTGCGAGAGGCAGTTAACACAAACCATGTGTTTCCCTATCTCAGTGACAGTTAAAGTCTACAATTTCACACTCTCACTTAGAGTGAAAATAAAAACAAAACACTGTGCCCTTTGGCCACTGTAATTCAGAAACGTCTGTCTCTTTGACCTAGGAATGCCACCAGTGAAAGCCGAATGTGTCAGTGCCAGCACTTCACAGAGGAGGAAAGCAACAGGTAGCTCAAAGGGCAACACAGCCTGCCTACAGACTTCAGAAACCAGGAACTGCTGAATTTGAAAGTGAACACAGGATAGGTGTCTCTTGTAATTTTGCCCCATTTCTGTCTCAACTGAGAATGGGGGAGCAGGGAGATGGTCAGGGAGCTCGTACAAGTGGAGTTCAGTGGGAATGGGAAGCAAAGAGGAGAGCCTTGCTGCCATGAGAGTAATTTTTTCTGTATGCATCCCACCACTTCATTTTTGATCACCACTTGCCTTTTGTAGGGTGTAAAGTCCCGATACCCTGACAAGCAGAACCACAGAGAATTGAGTCAACAACCGTGGGTAGCTCAAGAATAATATAAATGACAAATTGATAATTATGACCACTGTTTCTGTCTCATAAGATCAGATGTCTGTGCATTTCAAATCTGTGACCCCAAGTCCATCCTGGCCTCCATGCCAAAAATGACAAAAGATACAACATGGCTTTTTCTTTTGTCTAGAAAATAGAAAAGTACCTCTCTTAAAGAAAAAATACCATCACCAGCCCCCAGCTAATTCATTCTCTCTTAACTTTTTCATGCTCTAGTGATCAAATCATTAAACAGCCCTCATTATTCATTCCAACTTCTGCCAGGGATATGAGCTCTGTATCAGAGAAACACCCCCTCACCATCATAACCATCATCATGACATCTCAGCAAGTTGATACAATTATGCCAGAGAACCATCCCCATAATTATACAGTTCTTTAGCTCATTTCTCGGTGTATTCACCATTACTATAATCACAGTGAGTACAGTGTGTTAAATTAAGAACAGGATCTACAGCTAACATCTCAGAGGATGAAGAGTCTGCCTGCTGCAATTCTGCAATTCTTTACAATATAATTCTGAAAACCTCTCAAAGCCGAGGCTCGTATTTTAGTATTTCTTTGTTTTTGAAACAATTGACATTTACAGCTGATTTCAGGATGCGTATGAAGAACGGCATTTTAAGGAAGGAGAAAGGGCAGACATCATGTTGTCAAAGAATTGGTGGGACTGGAACTCAAACCTTACCTTTAGCTGTTAGGCACAGATTTGTATGCATATGGTACATATAGTCATGGACTGTTGTCGCAAAAGCGTTTTTGCCTTTCACCTAACAGTGATCATAAAGACAGCTTAGACAAATTAACTCTTAGCAGCTACTGATGCTTATTTGCTACAAGATGCTTTACATGAACAACTGTATAATTACATGTTTTGGTTAAAATATCAGACTGGAAAAAAACAGGAAAAGAAATACTTTTCTAAAGAAAGGATGTTCACAAAAGACAAACTGAGGAGAGGACGAGGTGAAGGAAGGTTAGAACAGGAGAATCATAAAAATTTAAAGAGCCAGGTAGGAAACCTTCATGACTGGGGTGACAGTAACAGAATTAGCTTTAACAGAATGCAAGCAGACATACTAACAACTTCTTCCTGTCTATTTCCATTTACCAAATCAGGCACAGCCAAGAAAATGTTGCACTTTGAGATTTCCAAGGAAGGCAGTGAATTATCAGTGGTGGAACATGCTGAAGTGTGGCTCTTCCTGAAGGTCTCCAAGGCCAACCGGAGCAGGACAAAAGTCACCATCCGCCTGTTTCAACAGCAGCGGCAGCCAAAAGGCAACTCTGAAGGAGCAGAAGATATAGAGGATGTGGGCCTGAAAGGTGAAAGGAGTGAGACGTTGATTTCGGAAAAGGCAGTGGACACCCGTAAGAGCACTTGGCACATCTTTCCTGTCTCGAGCAGTGTCCAGAGACTGCTGGACCAAGGCAAGAGCTCTTTGGATGTGCGGATTGCCTGTGACCTGTGCCAAGAGACTGGAGCCAGTCTGGTGCTACTGGGCAAGAAGAAGAAGAAGGAAGATGATGGGGAAGGGAAAGAAAAGGAAGCCGGAGAACTCACAGGAGAAGAGGAGAAGGAGCAATCGCATCGGCCCTTCCTGATGATGCTTGCCCGGCACTCAGAGGACCGCCAGCACAGGCGGCGGAGACGAGGCCTGGAGTGTGATGGCAAAGTCAACATCTGCTGCAAGAAACAGTTCTTTGTCAGCTTCAAGGACATCGGATGGAGTGACTGGATCATTGCACCTACAGGTTATCATGCCAACTACTGCGAAGGAGAGTGCCCCAGCCATATAGCAGGCACATCTGGTTCTTCACTATCTTTCCACTCCACTGTCATCAACCATTACCGCATGCGGGGCCATAGCCCCTTTGCCAACCTCAAGTCATGTTGTGTGCCCACCAAGCTGCGGCCCATGTCCATGCTCTACTACGATGATGGCCAGAACATCATTAAGAAAGACATACAGAATATGATTGTGGAGGAGTGTGGCTGTTCATAGACGCATGTGTGTGCAAGACCCTTCTCATTGAGAAGAAAATGTATCAAAAGCCCAAGAAAAGGAAAGACCAGACATGGTATAACCTTTTTTTTGAACGAAACAATCATCAGAAATAAAAGCAAAAGAGAGAGAGAAAAAAAAAAAAGACTTATGGAGGATTGGAAAAGACTTCAGATATGAAAAGGAAGAAAGCTTCATGAATCCGGGCTTGAATGAGATACGTCTGAATGGTGGTATGGGTTGGGGACTTCCCCTTCCTTTCAGTATGCTTCTTATTTTATTACATAGTATACTAAACATTAGTTATTACTAGGGGAGTTCTGTTCCCTCCCTTGGTTACCCATCAGTTCAAGCCGTGGTAGCAGCTCATCTAACCTGCAGCAATTTGGACTAAGTCCAAAACGTCATTGAAATTCCTCGAAAAGCCATGTGTATGAACACTACATTCACTGGCACTTTCCCCCCAAATTTACCAAGGAACTGAGTAGGTGTGTAGTGTTTGTGTGTATATATATATGGCTATGTATTTATATACATATCTCTATACATACAGACACTATACACATACATATACTTAACATTGGTAAAGGGACAATATTGTGCAGGTGTATACACCTTCATCTTCTGCACTACATTTATGAAAAAAAAGAAAAAAAAGGAAAAAGGAAAATGAAGAAAAAAACCAGAATTTAAAAAAGAATGAATTAAAGAATAAAAGTTACATTTTGTAAAGGTGCTTACAACATTAGAACTATGCAACCTAGCTGGTTTGAAACTGTTTACCTGCGAGAGAAAGAAAAAAAAACCAGAAAGACTTTTTTTAAATGGAAGTAACTTGTTTAAAAAAAAAATATTCAGTGAGAGATACTTGAAAGGAACATGTTTGTCCAGTTACTGGAGCCAAACATTTCTATATTTTGTAAAAAAATTTTTAATCGTTTACTATTTGCACTACAATGGTGTCTGACCTGTCTAATCCTTATTTAACAAATATTTGCAAGGGAGGGTGGTTGGGTGTGGGAGGGGTTGAGAGCTGCACTTATTGTGAGCTATACAAGAACTGCTACAGCACACAAAATTGCTATTTTTATTATTATAATAATAATTATTATTTTGTACCTTAAAATGAATAGACACATACACCAAAGACATTTGTGCAAGCCTCTAAAAAGTCTGTTTGTGGTTGGTACCATTCACCTGTAACAAGTTAGGGTTTGAATTAAGGGTCAGTGGGTTGATTACATTCAAGCTAGAATATGTGTTAACCAGTCAAATTCAAATAGTGCCCTCAACAGAAAAATTGCCATTTGAAGTAAGCCCAGAAAAGCTGTGGGATTTGGATCCAAGGTGCTTGAATCCAAGGCCCATCTGAGCATGATTGTACTTTTTTGCATGTATAACGCTAAGACTTGTCCCTGATGCACAGCAACTGTGCATTGTTGGGAAACAATTTTATCCAAGGGATATACATATATATATATGTATATATTTATGTATGTATATATGTATGTATGCACAAGGCATGAGCACTTCTGGCTTCACTTTAATGTTCTTAAAATAATGAATGTTTGTGTGCAAAGCACAGTACGTTAAAATACTATTTGTTTGTTACTACCAAGTGGGAGGCTACATGTTCAAAATGGTATTTGTGTGAGCGAAACCTAAAGAGCTGGTGTACACTTAAAAAAGACTGGATGTAAATTTGCAAGCAGCTTTGGGCTCTGTCCACCATTGTCCCTGCATACATACAGAAAATGACAGTTGTGGTAGGATTTCTGTTTGAAATGCAGTCTTTGGCAAAAGACTGGCTGTCTCCACCACCACCCTCTAGCATGACAACTCTTAATGGGTTTGCTCATTACCTGTAAGACCTAATTTTCAGTGTCAACACCTAACCTGAAGGGTCCAACCCATAGGGCATAGGTAGATAGTCATTTTTTTTTTAAAAAAAATCTATCGCTGTCATATTTAAAAGAATGTTAAAGTTACAACATTTGTCTTTGGGTAGGGGGAGATGATAAGAGGGAATGGGAGAAACCTTTAGGCCCTGTTTACACTGAGTTTGATAACCCTGAGCCTGAAACTTCAGACTCTCACAGGTTTGCAGGACCAAGCCCTTGTTAGCAGCCTTCCAACGGGACAGGCTTCAAAAAGTCTCTCGTGGAAAGAAGCACTAATATGGCTCCCCATCTTGTCAAGAGCACAGTCTGAAAAAAAAAAAATTAAAAAAAAATAAAATAGCACAATTTAACCCAGTCACATTGGCTAGGGATAGCGTGTTAGCACCTTCATGGCAAGAACCATGTTTAAACAGTGTAATCAGGGCCTTCAATTTTTGTCAGCCAAAACTGTTTGTGTGTGTATGTGTGCGTGGGTGTTTTCTGTGTGTGCATATGTCTGTGCGCATGGGCACATGTCCATATTTGTATGTATCAATAGAGATGTAAAAAAAAAAAGAAAAGAACAAAAAAGAAAGAAAAAAAGGAAAAAAAAGACCCTTCCTCCGTTGAATAGATATCAACATACATGCTTATAGCTAAGTTTTCTATCTAATTTATTCCACGGTATTTAGATTGTGTAGTACAGCTAATGGGTTATACATTTATGTACTTTTTATACAATGCATTTTTTATGGACTTGTTTGCAATTTGAAAAAAAAAATTAAAAGAAAATAACAATTGGGTAAACACTAAATTTGTCGCTAAAATATTCTGTAAAATATCAAGGCTTTCTGATTTAAATTATTTGCAGAAGTTTGTTGGGATTTTTTTTGTGTTTTCTTCCAGGGGAAAGGGAGGGATACCAAATGTTAGTGGGAAAATTAAAAAAAAAAAAAAGATGCACAACTAATTTATCTTTATAGCTGAAATAAATCAAGTTCCTGACCGTGCTTCATTTGAAGCAAGTGTCAGAATCAGAGTTGATTTTTCTAGAAGCAGAGCTAGATTCTGGAACAACAAGAGCAGAGACACTGTCTGTGACAGTAATTGAGGAGAGTACCTTTCATTTTACTGGGCTTTAGACATCCTTAAAATTGGATGCATATTGTCCCAGTACCCTTGCTCATGCCAACAGGCTCTTTGATGTCTTCTGGTCTCCTTACAAGAGTAGTAAAACTCCTTACATGTGTAAAGGTAAGTCAGGGTGAATCACAGATTCCTGTTGCTGTGGGCAGGGTGAAGGTAGAGAAAGGATTTTGAATGAGTGGTACCATATCCCGCATCGTTTAATTCAATTATTTAAATTAGGCTGCTTGCAACATGGTTGATCTCTGAACATAGTAGCAAGGGAAGCAGGTGAGGTGGCTCACATTGGTAAAAATTATTCTCAAGTGTAATTAGTCAGAGAGTATTGGAGACCTGAAATCCCAGCATCTTCCCCTAAATGACAATGGCAAAACTCCCGTGGGCTGCAGGCAGAGTAAGTTCAGGCTCATGGTTTTCCTGGCCAAAGCAGAAATAGCCTTTCAAAAGAAGTCCGATGCTTAGTTTGCTACCAGTTTTTATGTGGTGAATGGAACTGGCCCTAGGAAACATGAAACTAGGCTGAGACAACTTCCAAGCAAGGAGAGAAAATAGAATTTTGGATGTAGTGAACATGTTTCATCGTAGACACATCAAAAAAACAGAAGGAGGTTTTCGAATCAGGAAGTAATTGTTCCTAAGCCCTGCTTTTCAGCTTTCATTTGAGTGTGTATACTAGTCAAAAATTTTAAAGGTTTCTCCCTCCAATCCCTAGATTCAGTCATGGGGTTTTGATTTGTGGTCAGAGTTATTTAAAGTAGGGGGAAATGAAGAACTATATGATAAAATAAAATAAGAAATCGGGATGTTAATCAAGACTGACTGATTCCAGCAAAACACCCCATCTCTGATAATTTGATTTAATTAAATCTGCATGTCCTTAAAATAGCATTAGAAATTGTTACCATATTTAAACAGTTGTTCAAGGGCATGCAGTCTCAAAAATTACTTATCCTTTCAGGTATGAGTATACTCCCCCTCCCCTAAAAAAAGAGGGTTTTAACTACTAACACATTCCTTTCCATATAACCTACTTCCTGTTTACGTTGAAAATGTATTTTCAGTATATATTTAATGACAGAAATGTACTTGTTTAGTACCTCCACAATCTTCTGGCTTCCCAGTTGACCACATCTGATTGTCTTTCCCCCTCTCCGTATCAGATGCTCACTGGATATAGGCCTAAGAAACTGTCAGAAGTGTACTTTAAGATGTTTCTTTGGGAGGGCTGAATGTATTTGTCTTCTTGGGGTTTAGCAAGAGGAAATGCTTACAGATGCTTATAATTACTCTGTGCTCATATGTCACAGCAAAATAACAATCCAGGGCCGAAAACCTTAGAACTGAATGAAATGGGAGTTTTGTCATTGACTTCGGCAGAAACAATCTTTTACCAAACCATTGCGAAGTAGGACTCCATTACATATACCTCCTTTTTTTTGTATTTAGTTGATATTTAAGCCATCAGGTTCATATAACTGTGACACCACAAGGCCACATAGAGGCTAGCAGCAATATCTCTGAGGTAGAGAAGTTCAGACATCTCTAAAGTCTATGTGCAAAATGAAAATTTTTGTGGACTGTAGTTCCTCGTGTGGAATAGTGCCTTACTCTGTAAGCAATGCTGTTGATTTCAGAGGGTCTCCTTTCTTAGAAAGTTACCAGTCAGCATCAATAAAGTGAGCAAAATCTATTTCTGGACTGTAGGTAGAAGAGATGTGATGGAAATGATTAAGTTCTTTAAGTTAAACCTCATGTCAATAGTGTGCATCAGTATAAGAATCAGATACTAATCACTTTCCTTACACTGAAAAAAAGCTTTACTCCTCATCTGCTTTCACAGCATTACATGTGGAGTAAAAAGGTTTTCAGTACGAGTAAGTAAAAGCATAATTTGACCTTTTGTGAACAACTATAAGCAACATTTTCATGGGCAGAAACAAACAATACTTCCGGGTTATGTAGCTATTTATTTTTTGAGATATAATGAATCTGTATTAATTCTCAATGGGTTTCTTTGTATTTAAATACTTTCAAAAACAATACATTGACGATGGGTTGAAGATATATATATGTATGTATATATACATA